ACCCTATTTCTGTTTCTTAAGTAAGATGGCAGAGACAGGCCCCTGTTGATGGGGAGGATGAGGTATTACACCTAATTCAGTGAACCCTGCAAAACTCCGGCAATGCCCCACAGATAGAAGGGCAGAAAAGGAGAGGTGGTCTATGGGGATGCTTTGAGACCCACCGATGACATCTTGCAACACCCTAGGCACGAGGCCAGGCAGGGCACTAAGCTCCCGATGCCACCTTCCCCCTAAGGTGCCACCAGGCAAAGAGTGGGGGCTCCTCCTTGGTTGTTACAGCCTCCCCTGCCACACTCAACTCGGAAGTAAAACTACACAGCGCAGGAGGGGAGTGGCTGTGGGGCCTGCACCTGGTCTCGAATTCTTCCCGCCATGCCACAGGCTGCTGGGCGTGGAGCCTGGAAAGCAGCTGGAGCCCCTTCCTCCTCTCTTTGCCAGAGCGCCCTCCAATCTCCAAGAGGACCTGTGTCATCCTTGACTTAAAATAAACCGGAGAAGGATGAGCGCAGTCCCAGCAGAAGGATGAGCAAGCCAGAAAAAAACAAAAACAAAAAACTCTGGATCAGTGTAAAGACAGTGAGATTCAAAAAGAAGGCGGCTGGGCTACAGGATCAGGGCAGCATCTTCATCTGAAATAGATTGATTGCTCCCTGGTTGTCTCGTGCCTACGAAACAATTTAAAAAATGAAATTGGTTTATTGCAAGAAGCAAAAGAAAATTTTTCAAATTTTAACAATCCATATTCTTAGAAAAATTCAGTAGGTCACTGATTCAGTGAAAAACATAAGCATTTGTGGAAAGGGAAGCAATTTGAAATCTGGAGAGACGGCATGAAGTTAAAAAAAATTGAACTGCGTTTTTGAATACAGTGTATAAGACCAATAACTTTTGGTGGAATATATTGGAAGAAAACAATCACAAAGAAATAACGGGCTTTTACTTAGCAGGTCTGATGTTGGTAGCAGTGGTGGTATGCTAATTTCTGACTCTTTGGTAAAATAAACAAATAAATAAACAAACAAACAAACTATCCATAGCTGGAAACTGAGCTAATGAGGTGACTGGGTCTCTTTTCCCTCCAGGAAAGTGCTGGTGCTGGGTGCTGGGTGCTGGGTTCTGGGTGCTGGGTGCTGGGTGCTGTCCAGGGGACCCTCTGGGAGTACTTACTTCCTAGGCGGCTCCACAACTCTACGGGCATAGAAGTTAAGCTGTAAAACTGATTGTCTACAGCAAGGCAATGGCACTGTATCTGGTAGAGATATAATTTACTTCCTGTTATAGCTCAGGCGGCTATAACAAAATATCATAGACTGGATGGCTTAAACAACAGACATGTATTTCTCACAGTTCTGGAGACTGTGAAGTCGAAGAACAAGGCACCAACAGATTCCTTTGCTGATGAGGCTCCTCCTCCCGGTTTACAGGCAGCTGTCTTCTCACTGTGTCCTCACATGGTGGGGAAAGAGCGAGCTCCGGTCTCTTCCTCTTCTTATAAGGACACTAATCCCATCATGGTGGCCCTACTCTCATGACCTCATCTAAACTTAATTACTTCCCCAAATCCCCCCCTTCTAATGCATCATATTGGGGGTTGGCGTTTCAACATATGAATTTGACAGGGGGGACATAAACATTCAGTCTATAACATCACCTTATAGAAAAGATAACCCACAACATTATATTATATTGCTTTATAGGATATTAACCAGTTTTGCATCTATTAGCAGATGTATTTCAGCATTTGTGACTGCCTCTATGTGCCTGTTCTTCAAATTTTCTTTGAACTGGCCTTAACTAATTACTAGCCCATCACTAATTAATGAGTTTTCACTTTCTATCCACCTAACAGTCAAGTTTTAAGCTTTTGAAAATTATCCTTTAGTATCACCATTTTGTGCACATCTGTCACAGGACAGGAAAATGAGTAAATGCCTTGTGATTGCAGCAAACCAGGTTTCTTGCTGACAAAGAATGGGGAGAAGCATATAGAGGGTGAAGAGGAGGAAGACTATGGTGTTGCATTTGGATTGGAGGTATCCTTATTTTTAAAATTTTTTTTCTAACTCTGCTCACTGAAATGCCTAGAAGCAATAACATTTAGTGCAAATGAGCACAGCTAGAGGCCAGATTTTGGTTTCTAAACACCATTCCCCACCAAAAAAGAGCTATCATTCCTTGAAGATACAGCTGGTTGCAGATGGGTACTGGGAAAGTCCAGGGAGAATGTGGAACACTTTGGTGTGCCATAAATCAAGAAAATACTCAAAACTCACAGAAACATGACAAAAAGACACTGAAGCCATCTTCAGGGTTACCCACTGGCTAGGTTTGGGATAACTTCAGCACTGAAAAGAACAAAGGTGTTATTGAAGTAGAACACGCAACATTTTTTAAAAATGAGTAATGGTACTGAAAAAAAGGGTGGGGCTAAAGGAAAGCTCTTCTTTATAGAAAAATATCAGATAATAAGTGTAAAATAAATGATTCAGAAAAGGATTATCAAGGGCAAAAATTGGTGGGGAGACAGGATATTTATACAATCTCTAAGTATCATCTTGCAGATTACTTCTTAATTACAGAGGGGAAATATCTGCCTTTAAAATGGAGAAATGTGGTGATTCTCACAGTAAGCAGTTCATCAAATTTTAGCATCACCCACATCAGGACAAACTGGCGGTATGTGTTCCTGATCAGACACACCAAGGATATAGCACGGCCAATGCCATATTCTTGCCAAAAATATACACTGTGCTCCAGACTCTGAAGAAACAATCATGGGTGAATACGAAATCAAAACACCTGCAAATAGGCAAGACTTTGGGAACTACCTCATGAGTATCAAAGCACAGCTATTATCTCTAACACACAAAGAGCTCTGGCAGATCAGTAAGAAAAGAAATCCCTTCTTATCGTACAGTCTCATACCGTCATGACCTAATCCATGTCCCAGCTCTCTCACCAGCAACACCCGTCCCTCATCTGTATTTCTAGCAGGGACCAGATTTTGGAGCTCCATCTCTTCCTGACTTGCCATGAGACCTCTTTACTTAGAGGTCTCAGAGCATTTCAAAGTTATGATAGCCAGCTCAAAACCAGTGTTCCTCCCATTCCTCTTCTTTTACTTGTATGCCTTTTGCAGTTGGTGTTATCCCCTGTCCCAAAGCCCAAGGCCATCCTAGATCCCCAGCTCTCCTCAATGGCCCACATCACCACCACCGCCACCTGTGTTTCCAGCCACACAGCTCCCGGCCCTTCCCTGTGCTCTGAGCCCTCTGCTGGGCCCCCAGGATCCTCTCACCCCGTCACCACTCACACAGCCTCACGCTACTGAAATACATTCTCTTGCACTGTGCTTAGACTTTTAATGGTCTGGTCCCCGTCCTCCCCTCATCTCTCCTAGACACATGCCATCCTACAGCCATGCCCACCTACACTGTCCCTAAGACTCGCCATTCCTGAGAACTGCCCGGCTCCCTCTCTGCCCCAGCTCAAACCCCCTTCTTGCAAGACCTCTAGCCTTCAGGCTAGATGGAGTGTTCCTGTCCCACAGCACCGAGCTCCAGCAGACAGATGGTGCCGGGCTTCGCGTCTGTTTCTCTGTCCCATGAGCTGCAGAATTACTCAAGGATGGGGCTGCCCTGTACTTCTGTATCCTTGGTCCCTGACATGGCAGCTGGCCCACGAGAGGAAATGAATCACTGAATGCCTTACAAAGCCTTTTCACACTCTTACTAGGCTTTCAAAGCCTGGAATCCTCCATGGAGGTGATGCCTCACGCTCCGAAACCTGAGGAGGTGAACACATGTTAGCGCAGCCCCTAGCCCTTTCTAAGTTTGGAGAGTTCCCCACTCTATTCGTCTTGATTGAAAAGTGGGGTGCCCAGACCACTCCCACCATGGGGGATGAAACTGTCAAACACTGGTTTTTCCAGCCTCCCTGGCCCCCCACCCATCAGATCCACCCAGGGTGGCTTTGGTACAGGGGCTTGTGAAGCAACAAGGGACAAGGAGGTCTCCCTTTGGTGACAGCAACAGCTGTTTCCCAACCATAATCAACATACAGTGTGGTCCGGGGCACTTCCTCCAGTTTCCAGGCCCTGAGTGGGATTCTCAACAACCCCTGACAACCATGTGAGCTTCCCCTGCTTCCCTCAACACACAAGCGCCTGTCCTTCCTGGCTCAGCCGCAGGCAGCTTCTTTGCTTGCAACTGAGAACCTGACCAATGAAACAGACAGAATCTTTGGAGGCCAAGAAATTTGAAAGGGGTCAGTGATAAACCTGGTCAAGACCACTGTTCCAAATGAAGTGTAATTATGAAGAGGCAAGCATAGGTTTCATGTCAGTCCTCAAAAAAATGTCTGGATACAATTCCAAAGGAGGAGAGCCGCAATGCACTTGGCAACACTGACATAAGCGCCGTCCTCTCGATGACTATCATGGGCTGAGGGCCACGTGCTTGGATACCCACTCACAAGAGGCTCCCACTAATTTCGTCTCAGCTTGTTACACGGATACTCTAACAGCTCTCAGAAACAGTTCCTGGCATTTCTTTAATTCTACAGGTAAAGTGCAAGGTCACCTTCTACACGTGTCTACTTTCATGATTAACTATTACCGAGACACACGACTGTGTCTCTTCCACTGGTGGGTCTGCCAGCCTTGTGCCACCCCCTGTCTTTGGAGCAGGATGGCGTGTGAGGCTCCAGGTGAAGTGGTGACAAGGGTGACTTTCTGGTGCAGACTCATATTCAAAAACTTTGGACAGTATCAGAGCTTGATCTGCCCATACTGAATTCTGAACAAGTGGGTAAATGCATAGTGTCCCAAATGCACAGCTTGTGCACTCACAGCGATCAGCCCTTCCCTGGCACCCCTTGGTAGCAGGACATGGTTTCTGATCATTTCCATCCTGACTGCATCGTACCGGGAGCCCGGGCTGCCTGGGGGCGGTGCTCTGGCCACGGCTCTGGGAGGAAAGGGGGAAGCCAGCTCTTACCTGCCTGTGCAGCTGTGATTAGGGCTGTGTTCCCCTCCCTGTCCTACCAGTTGATGTCAATGTGGGGGCACTCAGCTAAGGCCACCAGGGTATATCCACAAAGCCATGGTAGCAGGCGACAATAAGGCCGGTCTAGAAATGAAGAGGGGAAGCGGGTCAGAGGGGCAGAGCCGGAGCATGGTGGGTCAGCACTGGGGACCCCAAGGGGCACCCACTACCCTCCAGGGGGCTGGACAGGGCAATGACAGGGACCTGGAGTCCCAATTCTCAGAGGTGGTTTAAAGTGAGCCAGCTGCTCGATCCTTCTCAAATGTGTGTTGAGCACTGACTCGAGTGAGGGCCTAGACGTGAAAACATCAGTGAACTGCTAAGGCCTCAGCCCTTCTGGGGTGTGCTTCCCCCAGGGAGGGAAACGCACCAACTATGGGGCTTGTAGAGAAATAAACGACAGAGCGCGGCAGACGGCGATGGGGTAAAAAAGGTGCGTACAGGGCAGGGTGCAGCTCTCTAGGGAATAGGGTGGTCAGGCTGGGCTTGGCAGAAGTGAGGTTGGGGTCTGTGCGTGAAAGAGGCAAGGCAATGGGCCACAGGGATAAAGAGAGGGGGAACGCCCCAGTAGAGGAAACAGCTCAAGCAAAGGCCCCAAGTCAGGACCGTGCCTGGTGCATCCAGGGAGCGGCCCAGCGGCCGGCGGGGCTAGAGCAGAGTGAGTGAGAAGAAGAGGAGTAACCTGGGTCCAGGAGGCAACAGGGGGTCTCAGAGGCCGTGGACAGGGCCCTGGGGACCCCCTGAGTAGGGGGAGTGTCCTGAGCCATCGGCTGCCAATCATCCGCATCCACTCTGGCTGCTGGGCAGGAAACAGGCTCTAGAAGAACAGGGTGGAAGCGGGAGCTGGTGGGAGACCACTGTGGGGCCAGGCAGGCGAGGATGGTGTCACACCAGGGTGGGGGCAGCAGTTGGGGAGGCAAATTTGGATTCTGGAAAGGAAGATTTGCTGTTAGAATGGAGGTGACGTTGAGTAGAAAAAGAGCCCAGGATGACCCCAAAGTTTTGGCCCTAGCAGCTGAGAGGATGCAGTTGCCATCAAATGAGAGAGACAGGCTATGGGACAGGGTGGGCGTGGGGACAGATGGCCGGCAGACTTCAGTGTATTGTATGATACTGTCTCTGGACAACCCAGTGGTGACGTCAGGTAGAGATGGATAGCAGCGTGGGGTCATGGAGAGAGAACCAAGCTCGATAGATACACTGAGAGTTGATTTTGTACATCTATCAATTAAATATTACCAAACGTTAAAATCCTAGCTCCCAGTGGAATGGCGCAAGAAGTGGGGCTTTGGTGGGGTGATTAAATCACAAGGGTGGAGCTCTCATGGATGGGATTAGTGTCCTATAAAAGGGACCTCAAGAGCTCTCTTGTGCCTTTTTCCTCCAAGTGAGGACGCAGACAGAAGTCTGCAGTCTGCATCCTGGAAGAGGGCCCGAGCCAGAACCCCACCGTGCTGGTGCCCTGATCCTGGGCTTCCAGCCTCCAGGAATGTGAGAAATAAATTTCCACTCTGTATAAGATCTTAGCCTTCCAGCCCCTAGAACTGTGAGGAATAAACTTCCATTATGAATAAGTACCCCGTCTATGGTGTTTTGTTGCAGCAGCCCAAGTTGACAAGGAGACTTCATAACAAAGGAAAACAGCGTAGACGCAGGTGTGAGGCTCACCGCCTCACAGACGTACATAAAGTGAGATGCTAAAATTCAACCCAGGGTAGGAGCTAATGACCAAGCAATCAAGTGTCACTCTTGGCAGTGCCAGCCACACCACCACTGCATGGGAGGCACAAAGTTTACCTTGAGAGCCACTCCACAGTGGCCCAGCCGATTTTCACCAGATTTATTTATTTATTTATTTATTTATTTATTTATTTATTTGAGACAGAGTTTCGCTCTTGTTGCCCAGGCTGGAGTGCAATGGCGCAATTTCAGCTCATTGCAACCTCCACCTCCTGGGTTCCAGTGATTCTCTTGCCTCAGTCTCTCAAGTAACTGGGACTACAGTCATGTGCCACCACACCCGGCTAATTTTGTATTTTTAGTAGAGACAGAGTTTCGTCATGTTGGTCAGGCTGGTCTTGAAATCCTGACCTCGTGATCCACCCGCCTCGGTCTCCCAAAGGGCTGGGATTATAGGCGTGAGCCAACACGCCCGGCCAATTTTTAGTAAGAGTATAATTTTTCATGGAACAATAAGAGGACTCGAGTAGCTCTGCCCACTTATCTCAATAAGGCTCCTAGTTGCCCCACAGAAGAATATTAAATCACAAATATTCACGTTTTTAAAGTTCTACAGAATACCATTGATTTTCTAACACTGACATCCATACCACGGCATAATGAACTCAGTAACTGTTGACTATGCAAAAGGGTCTTTAATACACTCTAGCTTATGCACCCTTTGAAAGAGGTCACTCCATCGATACGGTGAAATGTTTCACAATAATCTAATTTTAAATAGAAAAGAGTGGGCTGCAGGCAGGCTCTCCTTAGAAGCCACTGAGGTTTTCAGCCTCTCTGCGAACTAAGAGTTCACTGCCGCCGCCACCTCCATTCTCCCAGCTAACCTACCAGCCTGCTTTCGCATAAATGTGCCGGAAAACTTGTCATTCCACCCAGGGAGCGCCCAAAAACCGTTTTTAGCTTCTTTGGATGGAGATATTGCTCTAGTATTCTACAATTTCCTGACTTATAAATAAAACATATTGAACATAATGTAACATCTTCCTCTGCATATAATTACACAAGTAGCTCATATTTATTGCAGAAAAAGATCCAAAAATTAAAGAGAAGAAGTAAAGTTATAGACCAGACACACACATATGCCCACATTTTTCTTTAAACTAAAACAGGACCATTTGCTATATGTCTTAGTTAGGACTATATCAGCAATATCTTCACATCAATAAAAGTAACTCTGTGTCAAAATTTCTGGTAGATCCAGAGTATTCTATTCTATGTGGGGTAGAATTGTCATTATTTAACAAACCCCTATTCTCGGATACTCAGATGATCTGTTTCTCACTTTCTCATGAGTAAAACCTGCAATGAAAGCCCTGGAGCTAAGGCTTTGTGTATTTTGTTTCTTGTTTTCTCAGGAAACATCGTTAGGAGCAGGATTTCTGGATTAAAGAAAATAGGTATTTTGAAAGCTTTTAGCATATACTGCAAACCTGCCCTTCAGGAAGGTCCCAGATGGCATCTGCCTTTGCCAACCCTGACATCCAACCTGCACTTAAAGGGCTCAGGTTAAAAGGAACGCCTTCCCTAGGTGGCTACAAGAGGGACATGCTCAGGGCTCCGGAAGTATCTGGCTCCTGAATTAGGTCTCTTTCAGGACCACCCTCCCCTCCCCTCCTTCTCAACTCAACCAGGGAAGGGTTCTGCTCTGGACAGATAGCACCTCCTCCCTCCACCACACTCCTCCAGCTTCCTAAGGTAAAACTTCCCAAAATGTGCAGCAGGCACCTGCTGGCAGCCACCTTGGGAAGGCTGATATAATATTTAGAAACCTAAGAACATCACTTTTTTTTTTTTTTTTGAGACAGAGTTTTGCTCTGTGGCCCAGGCTGGAGTACAGTGGTGCGATCTTGCCTCACTGCAACCTCTGCCTCCCGGGTTCAAGCCATTCTCCTGCCTCAGCCTCCCGAGTAGCTGGGACTACAGGTGCCTGCCACCAAGCCCGGCTAATTTTTGTATTTTTTAGTAGAGACAGGGTTTTACCATGTTGGCCAGGCTGGTCTCAAACTCCTGACCTCGAATGATCTACCTCAGCCTCCCAAAGTGTTGGGATTACAGGCATGAGCCATGGCACCCGGCCAGAACATCACTTATTATATTAACAAATTCAATGAGGCCAGGTGCAGTGGCTCGTTCCTATAATTCCAGCACTTTGAGAGGCCAAGGTGGGAAGACCACTTGAGGCCAGGAGTTTGAGACCAGCCTGGGCAAGACAGTGAGATGCCATCTCTACAAAAAAAAAAAAAAATTTTAATTGGCCATACATGGTGGCATATGCCTGTAGTCCCAGCTACTCAGGAGGCTGAGATTGGAGGATTGCTTGTGCCTGGGAAGTCAAGGCTGCAGTGAGCCGAGATCACGCCACTGAACTCCAGGCTGGGTGACAAAGCAAGACCCTGTCTCAAAAAAAAATTGGGGATGGGAGGAAGATGATCATTATCTAAGGGAGTTAAAGCTCTCAACACATACACATGCACACACAGGAAACTGCATAGAAAACATCTAGAAGAACCACACCAAAATATTAAGAACAGAAGGAACATGAATGGGAGGTATGTGGTGGTTAATTTCATGTATCAACTTGGCTAGGCCACAGTACCTAGGTATTTGGTCAAACATTATTCTAGATATTTCTGTGAAGGTATTCTTTAAATGAGACTGATACTTAAATCAACAGACTTTGAGTAAAGTAGATGCCCTCCGTCATGTGAGTGGGCCTCATCCAATCAGCGGAAAACCTTAAGAGGAAAAAGGCTAGCCTCCCCACACGCTGGAAAGAAAAAACGTGACCAGCAGCACTGCCTTCGGAGTCAAACTGCAACTCTCCCCCAGATCTCCAGGTTTGAACTTGCCAGCCCCTACAATCACTCACACCACTTCCTTAAAACAAATCTCTCTCTTTCTCTACATATATGTATACACACACACACACACACACATTTCTCTGGAGACCCCTGACTAATCCAGGGTGGGTGGGGTGGTGAAGGAATATTTTGGAAGAACTACTTTCACTTTTTTTTTTTTTTTGAGATGGAGTCTCACTGTCACCAGGCTGGAGGGCAGTGACGCGATCTCAGCTCACTGCAACCTCCACCTCCTGGGTTCAAGCGATTCTCCTGCCTCAGCTTCCCACATAGCTGGGACTACAGGAGCGTGCCACCACGCCCAGCCAATTTTTGTATTTTTAGTAGAGACAGGGGTTTCACCATATTGGCCAGGATGGTCTCAATCTCTTCACCCTGTGATCCGTCCTCCTCGGCCTCCCAAAGTGCTGGGATTACAGATGTGAGCCACCCCATATGATTCTGTGCAGTTAGAATTCTTATGTAAAACAAAGCTGTATT